CAACCACTGACAAAAGAGTCAAAAATGACTAGTTTTGTAGATATACTTTTAATGATCAGTCACTGTCAATATTTAGAAATACTATGGAGAATGGAAATCTTAAAAACTATAACTTTTAAATAGTTTTGTGTAAACATTTTATATGGTTTTTGCATCTGTGAAGCGACTGCAGTCCCAGGGGCAGCTGTCTGAAAATGCTGACTGTTTCACCAGAAAACACTATTTGGGAAAATATTGAAATACAAATAAATAATAAATAAAAACCGAGATCACCTTTATCTCTTCTCTCCAGGCCGTCCAATATGGTAAATTTAGGAGCGATTGTCAATATAAACTGAATGTCTGACGCTGAACATCAGCAAAACGTGCTAAGCAAACATTAGCACCCTGGTCTAGGCCCACTTGTTGTCACCAAGAGCTTTATTTGTAGCATCCAAGGAGGCAAACACCTGCATTATGTGTTCATTAAAGTCCCCCACAGAAAGCCTTCCATGTCAATCTCAGTTAATGGCCCATTTGTTTCAGGCTGGCGCTGGTTAACATGCACTGACTGACACAGAGGCATGGTACATTACTGTACTGTATATTTCAGGCAGCGCCGGCATAAGTCTCCAGCATCTAATCCTCAGCTGTATCAAGGGATTTAGAGGTGAGCAAGGAGTAGCACACAGATGGAGCAACACCTACCGTACACACATATAAACTAACTGACAAAGTCAGTTCAACATGGTCCATAAAACACGCAGATGATAAAAAATGCACCTCTTGTATTAGTTTTGACATGAGTCCATTTGTGGTTTTATAGATGCTCTGTGTGTTTTCTATCTTTATTGGCTGTATTTATCTGTGACACCATGTCTCAACAGGACATGGACTGAAATATGAAGCCATAATGCATTAGTACCCCCAGTTTCCCCTGTGCAATTGCTGATGTCGAGATGACAAATCCTGAGCTATATGGTATAGAGCTCTGTCTATACTGTTTTCTTTCTATACGGCAACTTTCCAACTTGGTTTGTGACTTGATGTCTCTGCATTCATTTGTGCATATTGTCTATCAAGACACTATGCACTTTTGTTTATTAATTCATAAAATTCTGCAGGTTTATCAGACTTTGGGTACTTTAGTTAGCATATTAATTGGCAAAGAGCACATGAGCGTCCACAGACATTAGTACATATTTTCCTTCCTTGTTTCTGTCCGTCTTGGCCACTGTCTCCTTGTCAGCTCTGTTCTCCCTATTGGCACTCTCTCTGCTGTGTCTTGGCTCATTTGTGCCAAGTGATGTCTTCATCACAGTCCACCAATTTCTCTACACCTGCCTAAACCAAAACCTACCTTTATACCAGCATCCTCCACTTTCTTGTGAGGCTGCCAGGCTTTTCCCACAGTCTAGTGCACAGTCTGCCACTGTGCTGGCCCAGTGTGTGATTTAAGAGGCAGGGCTGGAGCTGGACACTGTGAGCTAACTTCTAGTATGGGTAGCGGTGGTGGTGAGGGGTACTTTAGTAGCCCTGGGTAGTGAGGGTTGCCCTCACTGCCCAGAACTATCTTTCCCAAACCTCTAAGGTGTGGTTTGGGAAAGATAGGTCTAATGCAGTGAGATTGCATGACAGGGAGCTAATTACATTATTCATCTAAGGAAACTGCAGTACGGTCGTGATAGGTGACTGAGTTTATGTGTGTGTGAACACGCATAGGGGAAGTCCTGCAGGGTTTTCTTTTCTCATTCCCTGCTAGGCCAGCAGAAAAGGAGAGGGAGAGAGCAATAGCAAGGCTGCCTACAATCACAAAATCCCACTATGATTTTACATTTGCCTTCTCAGGGGAACGCCGACTGCCCCGGGGGCCGAGGCACTGTTGCTCCGCTGTCATCACAGTTTAATTCAAGACTTGTATCACAAAAAGGAGAGAAGAGCTTTTTTTTCTTAAGCAGAGGGTGGTTTATCACTGTAACTTGGTACCTTACCTTGGTAATTCTTTAAATTCAAACTATAAGTGCTACTCTAACAGATGATTATGATGACTGATGAAAACAAATACAAGCATCTCATTGGGATGTTTCAACCCAGCCTGATATTTAGACTGAACAGCCATTGTTTTCTTTACCTCATTATTCAGGCTGGCATTATGGTCACGGTTACCATTATGTCATTATTATTGAGGAGAAACTGATATTTTGACTTACTGTTTTTGTTGTGCTTGTGCTGACGACCAGCGCTAAGGGAGCACTGGCTGTGCAACCCCAGTGGCTGGGTGTGATGCATCGGCCAGGAAGCAAACCCAGTTCAGACGACACTGCTATTATTTTGTTATGTATTTTAGCAATGTGCTACAGTGTAATAATGATCAGTCAGGTGGATGGAGGGGTGATGGATACTTTTGGCTTGTTAGGATGTGAAAAATCACATTATGCTGCCATGTCATCATCAGTGTTATTCAGCTTGAACAGTAACTTTGTCCTCATGAAACAGAGGTCACTAGAGAAAGTACGAAGAAGTCAGTTTAAGTCAGAGGCGGTACCAACAATCAGAAGAAAAATCGCAGACTATATTTGATGTTGGTATTGTGTCTTGCAATAAATGGCTCAAGCTTCTGTAGTGTGGGCTTAATTTAACCTGGATGAGCTCTTGAGATTTAACATTTTTTGTCAAAGCGTGACAGAATAAGGGCCAAAGTGGCAGAATAATTACTATTTGGCACATGTACTAGCACCAAGCTAACATCCATGAAAAGACACATATGTAGTGTTAATAATAATGGATTTTTTAAAAATTGCTAACTAGATAAATATTTGCTATCAAAACATGTCACCTCTTACTACTGAGAAGTAATAACAGTTACTCCCTAATGATACTGTACATTGTGTATTCTTTTCCTCACTTGCCAAAATTCACACAACATTGATAACAGAATTCTGTTCTTTTATTATTTGCAATCAGGGATTATTGTGAAGATTTAGGGTGCAAACTATTGGTTTTACCACCAAATGAGGTGGTGAACTGGTTTGTGATCTGATGTACTGTATGTGTGACTGACTGATGTAAGTTCCTGACCAACTCAGATTGTGTCACAGCATCTATAAATTGTTGTCAAAGCTCACAGAACAGCATGGACAACATCGCTTTGTTTGTCTCTTTAAAGAAACATCACATCAAAAGGTGGGACTGGGGAGCGGGAGGGTGGAAAGGTGGGGGTGGTGGCACCCAGCCCTGACCTGGCCCAGTACAGCATGAGCAAGGTGAAAATGGGAGAGAAGGGGACTCTGACTCATAGCCATCAAAGGAGGGATGTGAGTGACAGAGGGGAGGAGAAAGGGGAGGGGAAAAAGAGTAAAGGGGAGGGTTTAGGGAAATAGAGTAGAGAGAGTGTGGTGTGTGTGTGTGTGTGTGTGTGTGAGAGGGAGGGACAGAGAGAGCATGTGAAGCACACTGCCAGCGCTCACTTGTTAATGCACTGTGAACAGGGACAAGCAAGAGTGTCACGCACATACACTCTCATATACTCTCACACAGTGCCGCTCCTGCACACACACACACACACACACACACACACACACAGACTCCCTAACATATGTATGCTGAGGCTGAGAGGTGCCTTACTTGGAACACACAATTTTCCCAGTCCGTCTCACACACAAACACACACTGTGCAAGCTGGACTAAACAGAACCCGACCAGAATACTGTCACCTACCAGTGGGGGCATGAGCCCCAGCAGTACAACCCCTACAGTAAGGCACGGCTACCTGCCAGCAGCCCCCCCGCTCCCCACCTCTTCTTCTCTCCCTTCCTCCCTCACTGTCTCCCTCAATTCATTCATCCCTCGTTCTCCCAACTGTGAGGCGGCATGCGTGGCTGAAGGACACAGCGCTGCTCTCTGCTGTGGTGTAGTGCACTGCTGAGAGAGTTGGAGAGCCCGATCCGACAGGGGGGATAGAAAGACACGCTGCGCTCCCTTCCCTCCCTCTCTCTCTCTCTCTCTCTTTGTCGCTGTCTGTCTCCCTATCCCCATGCTCCCTCATTCATGAATGTCACCTCTATCTCTGGGAAATGCTGGATTTATCAAGCCTCTGTCTTTTTTCTCTTCTACTCTCAGGGTGTGGGGGTGAACACAAGGGTGATGCCAGGAGAGCTTGAAAGACAGGGAGGAAAGCAGCCGCACTCTGTCCATCACCGTCCGACCGCATCCCCTCATCCCTGTCCCATCTGGTGGAGCTGATACCTCAGGTTGGATAGTCCCTACTTTTTGTACTTTTATTGCTCTGACATTGTTTTGGATGGGGAGATTTTACACAAAGACAGAAAGAAAAGGAGCTGCAGTGTGTGCCGGCAGTGTGACTCCTGCTATTTTGGAGAGTTGGTATTCGGACGTTTTTCTTCCCACTGAATCAGATCAGGCTTCTGATCTGCTGGACTGAGTGGGTTAAGAGGGCTAAATGTAATTTAGGTTTGGGTTTGGATTCAGAGCGCGACAGATGGTTCTGCTGCTGAAACCCTTCGGACGAGATTGAGTCAAACTTCCCAGGATCTCCAGGAGGGGTGTAAGGGGACACTCAGTCTGGGACAGAGGCATCAGGACAACACTAGCTACAGTATACTGGTTTTTTGGTTGGATAGCAACATGACTCACCAGAGCACCAATGATGTACCAAGGTTTTATCTGAACCCGACTCCCAACCAGAAAATACACAACCAGAAAGACATTTAAAGGCAAACGCTCATCAGTCCAAACCTCAACAAGCAACCCTTGGCTGTTCTGGTTGGGCCTTTTCAGAGATTCACCCTTCTTTGCCTCACCTCTCCCTCTTTTTGCCTTCCTTTCCTGCCTTTCTCTACCCTGCTGCAGTCCAGTCTCGGAAGCCCCCTCCTCCACTGTGCACCCCTCCCTCAGCTGTGCTCCGTCACGCTGGGTGAGCAGGCAGGGGGGTGGCCCACACACCGGGGCGCCACGGGCCCGCCAGAGGCTGGTGAGGTGGCGGCAGGGTCAGCGCTGGCAAGATGGCCGCTCTCGCCAGCTCCCTCATTCGCCAGCGCAGGGAGGTCAAGGACCCCCAAGCAAACCGGCAGATTGCCAGCAAACGCAAGCCCTGCCCAAAGAGCAACAAGTCGCTTTGCCAGAAACAAATCCTTATATTAATATCAAAGGTTCGACTATGTGGCAGTCGAGGGAGGAAAACGGACAAAAGACCAGGTGAGTTCCGACAGTCCTTTAAAGTCTAATCTCATGTTTTCCAGCTTCCTTCCTACTTACACACTGTTCGTCATGTCTTCTTTTACTGCTGAATGTTGTGCCTGTACTGGATATATGGATTTTAATGGTCAACTTGCCAGGACTACAGATTAATCCTCAACTGTAAAGCCTCAATAGAGAACATCCACAGCCTGAAATTTCTAGCTGAGGGCTTAATCTGAATCTGGGAAACCTCCCAGCTCATCAACATGCCCTGTATTACAGTAGTACAGGAAATTCCTGCTTAATACCCAAGTCTGTACCACTGATGAGAGGCATGACCTAGCCTCTGTTGCAAGTGTGGCGGTGACTTTGTTAAGGCACATGTCAACACTTCCACATACTGTATATGCAGGTCATCTGTAAGGGCACACTGCACTTGGCTCATTCATAGAGTGATTTACTGTGATTTTAAAATGTCAAGAAGTGCCTCATTTGTGATTCTGGGGACCATTACTCTCCCTGTGCTTCCCTCAAGGCAAGCGGAACAGTGCGGCCTAATTTGTCTTCTGTTTGCAAGTTAAATGCGACTGCAGAATTATTTACTAAAGCCAAATGAGACAGTGACACTTGATTTGAGGCAGTGAATGTGTCTGTGCTGATTTTGGCACTATGGGATACAATGAATTTTGAAAATGCTTCTACTACAATGTAAATACTATACTGGCAAAATGTTAGTGTCTTTTGGAAGTTGTACTATATTTGTGTGTCTAAAAGACAGTTTTGTTTTTGCATTTTAAATGAGCGATTTCTTTCTTTGCTTTTTTCTTTTATTAAAGAAATCTTTGTTATTTTGCGACCCGCTCTCTGATAAACCTGATTAAGATAGATGGATGTTTATTTTGCTTTTTTTAAAGCCTTGTTATAGAGTCCCCTGCCTCCTAATCTATAGGTAAAACACTATATTATACGTCCCTTTGAATTCTGGGTTACCCTGTACAGCAGTATATGTGTATCATTGTGTGTCACCTGAATCAGCTTGTGCTCACCATTTTGTGTGCGCGCTCCTCGCTCCTTCCACGCACAATACAGTGTGTTTATCCTTTCCACCCTGTGCGACTGTATTTGTGTGTGTTCTATGTGTTCTAAGATATTTATTAGCTCACTGTGTGAGGTTTGTCATGATAATTACATGGGGAACCTCTAACATTATATAGAGGCATCTGCCATAGAGGCAGCTGCTCTCTTTATTGTAATTATGGTTGTAAAATATGTTGGACAGGTCGCCGCAGTACTAGCTCTTTGGGAAAAGGCCACAAGTACAGTGCGTCCATTGTTTGAAGCCATATTCATCCTAATAGCTTTGGTGCTTCTCATACTCTTATGGATTTATTATAGTAATCATGGGGACGAGGTATGGAGGCTGTGGTTAAAGAGACATTACTAGCTTCACATTTCAGCAGAGATTTACAGGGACCTGTTTTCAGTGTTGTGTGTGGCTGTGTATCTTCCTCATTCTCTCAACGAGTTTCTGCATGTGAGTATGTGTGTGTTGCTCATATGGACAACACTGCTGACCCCTGGCCATTGGTGGATATGCCATCTCAAGCATGTGTATCATCATCATCATCATCATCATCATCATCAGATGTGAGTATGTCCCTCAATCTCTGAGCTTCCACTTGAGGTCACAGTTGACCCCTAAAGCAAACTAATATAATATTCCTGAGCCATAGCTTCCACCTCAATTTCTTCATACGAGCTCTATTAACCAACTTCCACCCGGATATCACTACAAACAGCTCATTACAGTCTAACATATTACAATGTCAGTGCTTGTACAGGCTTATAATTTATTTATTTAAGTGATTACATTTGTGCCATGGTGCTTTACAGCGACTGCGTGTCAGTATTATGGATGCAGGCTTTTTCAAACATTATTATACTTGCATACAGCTTAAATGTCAAATGACATCTAATTACATGCACAGGTACACAGAGTGATTGTTTGCTACAGGCAGAAACTAAAAGACAGTCAGGAGCACCAAAACATAGTATTATCACCTTTGGAAAGTTCCACCAGGAGGAGACAACTTTGTCGGTCACCGATGGAACATCCGACAAGTACCAGCTGAAATATAATTTGGACTGTAGTTTTTATAGACACTTCATTATACTTAAAAGTCACGTAGTCAGAAATAGGTAACTGCGTCAATAAGGCTAACCATGTGACATCTCACATACTGTAGTTTGTGAATACTATGAAATTCCACTGGTATGATATTGCAGACTTCTGCGAGTCCAATTTATATAAAAAAATGCTTGGATAAAATTACAAAAATACATAAATACAAAAAAAAAAAAAAAACAAACTAACATGGCAAAAAGGTGGAAATGCCCACTCCTACATTACAACTCAGGTCATTCTCCAGCTCACTGTTACAAACATGCTCTCCTCCAGGAAGAGTTTATCAATTTGCTCACTAAAAGGGAAAAGAAAATTATATCTTATCTGGGAACCAGCAATGAAGTGTTCCAAAGAACCAGGGTTACCTCGGTTAATGTATTGTAATCATTTGCACAATTTGCGCAAAACTAGTTAATTGAAAAAAAACATGCACAGTCACATTTTAATTTGCTTACATTTTAAAAGTGCCTTTCAGTGCTTGCAAAACTCCTCATATACTGTATTTAACCTTATTTGAGTCTCTTTGAAACTCCTGCATCTCCCCTTCAAAACGCAACAAAGAAGTGTTCACTGTTAGGTGACTAAACAAGAATTCTTAAAAGGTAAAAACTTTGAGACCTTAAAAGAACAGTTATGGGATTTTTCAAGTTGGTGTTAAAACAATATTGATGTATCCCTGTGTACGTGAGACTAGGTCTAGGCCATTGTCACTTCTCCTACTCCCCACACCAACCCTGAATGTTTCCACCCAGAACGTCACTATGCTGCAAAACATGAGGGACAAACTACACAGCTCTCATTCTGGGGAAAAAAGAAAAAAAAACATGCACTCCAAAGTTTGTCTGAAGCTCAAATGCAGCCTCAGCTGTCCCACTAAGATAATTCGAGTCAGCATATTTCAAAGTTGCAGTTTATTGAAAATAAATTTCCCTGCTGTGTTTCCCTGGACAGTACCTCGTTGTGCCGGGGCAGAGGGATACGTTATAGACGCAGTGTGTAAGTTCTGTTACCACAACTGGCTTTTTCCTAATGTAAACACATGATCTCTTGGTTATCACTGTATGGCCATGTGTGATCTAATAGCATACACCAAGTTTTTTCTATAAAGCTGAGTTAGTGTCACTGATGCACTGTAGGTCAACTAGAGCCTGTAATCAGTGTGGCCTTTTAAGGAACATTCATACACAGAGGTATCTTTAGTTTGTTGACTGATAAATAATAGCTGGACTGGACTGGTATTGGCACAGCTGTGCCTCTCGCAATGTGGAAATGGGCTCCACATACACGTGACTCTCAGCTTTGCAAACTGGCATCATTAAGTCCATTCTGACCATTTCAAGATCTGAGGTGAAACCTGTGCGACACATTGGCCCAGTGCCTGTTTATTTCAAAACACGCTGGATGAATGCAGACACAAATTTGGAGTGCATGTTTTTACAGAATGAGAGCTGTGTAATTTTTGCAGCATGGTCACATTCTATGTGGAAATTCCAAACTATTCCTTTAAGCACACATGAAGCCCTGTGCCCCAGATTTAAAAACCTGCTCACTGTTTGCAGTATAGTGTGTAGTGTAGTGTGGCTCTCCCTACAAACTAATGACACCTCAAATACACAGTATTTCTGACTGTGTGTAGATGTTATCATGCACCCAACGCCGTCTGCTAGTGCGTCACTGCACTGTGACTGGAGAGTCCAGGTTCCTGTTATATTGTAGGCTCTTGTAGCAGAGAAGGATGTGTAGCTTATTTCAGAACAAATCTGTGTGTGAACATATGCATATATGTGCGTGTCCTGAAAAATTTGCTGCCTACTTACTTCTAAGTGACTGATGAGTGTTTTTGTGCCTGACCCACATACCTCCCCCTCACACTTTCTCTCTTACATCCCCCTTCTCTCCCAGTGCTGTCAGCCCTTCACCTTTACACACACCCCCACACCCCCACACACCCTCTAACCCTCACCTAACCCATACTAATGATGCCCCAGCACTATAGCCCACTCAGCTAATAACAAGGTCAGCTTGCCCTGCACATACACATGCACACTCACAAGCAAACCAGCATGAGTAGACACACTTTCAAGTACGTATGCAGTAATTACAACCTCACACACTTGCATAAATGCAAACAGAACAATAAAAAAAAAACAAAAAAAACACCCACACATATTTGTAAACTAACATACAAAACCAAATGATGAGGTTTCATGATAAGAGTGTGGGAGAGACATAATTTTGCAGTGGCCTTGTGTGTGTATGTGTGCGAGGCCGATATGATGTAATGAGGATGTTAAGCCGCCTATTGGATATCAAAGCAAAACCAAAATAGCTTGTGTTGTGCTCTGACTGCCTGCTGGAGCTGCTGGTGAAACCCTCCTCTCTTCTATTAACAGGATAGGATAACACTTGGAGTTGTTACTGCAGCACGTGGGCCAAGTGTTCACCCGGCTACAGCAAATCATTTTGTGTGTGTGTCTCTATGTGTGTGCAGAAGAGGGGAGAAAATATGTGCACGCTCGTGTCGGAGGCAAACGAGAAACGATGGCGTGACAGGAGTCAGTTCGTGCACCTCGGCCAGACTCTGAGATTGTGAATGTGTGTGTTAGGCTTGTTGTGCCGTGATTCACCAGGTAACATTAGCTCCTCTCATTAGCACACACTGACTTATCAATAATGTGTTGCAGCATTTGGAGAGCACACAGTAAACTGGGGTGAATTATAGACTGGACACACCAGGGAGGACTATATTTCTTACTCTCTCCCCATTCTGACTTTCTCGCTTTATCAACTTTCTCTTCCCTCTTTCCATCTCACCTCCCTTTCCCCAACAGCC